GCTGCTGCTGCTGCTGTTGCTGCTGCTGCTGTTGGAGGCATCAAGGCCTGTCCACCGCGCGAGCCAGAGGTCACTCAATACATCTGAAATGCTGTTGAGAACCAAAACGATAAAAAAGAAAACGGACAGCGCTCGCCCCGCCTGCTTCAGGTACCTGTAACAAATGAAATGCAGCAGCAGCAGCAGCAGCAACAGCAGCAGCAACAGCAACAGCAGCAACAGCAACAGCAGCAACAGCAACAGCAGCAGCAGCAGCAGAAGCAGCAGAAGAAGGGGAAGATAACACACAACAGCCCTTGTAAACGGGAAAGGAGAACAACAACCTAAGCCCGCAGGGTTTAGAGGTTAGGGTTTGGTTACTAGGGTTTAGGGTTTAGGGTTTAGGGTTTAGGGTTTAGCACCCATGCACAGCTGACAGCAGCCACCCATAGACTAAGCTGATAAGGAAACAACAGTAGTAATAGCAGCAGCAGAAGCAGCAGCAGCAGCAGCAGCAGCAGCGGCAGAAGCAGTAGCATCAGAAACAGCAGCAGCAGCAGTAGTAGCAGTAGCACAAGCAGCAACAGCAACAGAAGCAGCAACAGTAGTAGCAGCAGCAGCAGCAGCAGCAGCAGCAGCAGCAGAAAGAGAAAAAGAGTATGAATCAGGTATTTGTGTATTGTATCACCATAAGTAAGAAGAGAACGCCACCAACCCGCTGGCTGTCTCCTCCGGTGTATGTAGCGTCCTGGGGGTGGTGGGGGGTTTAAATAAATTAAATGAAATATCATCGGCTTTACTAGCAGAGAAAGCTGATGAGGATGATGATGGAGATTCAGGTGTACGTACACCTGGTTGTGTTTGTTTTTTTTCTTTTTTGTTTTCCTCTTCTTCTCTTGCTGCTAAAATATCTTCGATTCTTCCTAGAGTTCCTTTATCTTCTTCTTCTTCTTTTTCTTTTTCTTTTTCTTTTTGTTTTTTTTCTTTTTGTTTTTCCTTTTGTTTTTGTTTTTCTTGTTTTATTTTTTCTGTTTTCTTTATTAAATCCATAAACTCCTCGTCATCTCCTCGCCACTCCACTCGCCCATCCACCAACCGACATATTTCAAATTTCATGCGGCGAGCAGAAAAAGAAACAAATTGAGGAGAAGACGAAACACAAGCTGAACCTTCTACACCTGAATGCTGCTGCTGCTGCTGCTGCTGCTGCGGCTGCTGCTGCTGCTGTTGCTGTTGCTGTTGCTGCTGCTTCTGTTGCTGTTGCTGTTGCTGCTGCTGCTGCTGCTGTTGCTGTTGTTCTTCTTGCTGCGGTTGCTGCTCCTGCTGCTGCTGTTGCTCTTGCTGCTGCTGCTGCTGCTGTTGCTGTTGTTGCTGTTGATGTGCGTATTGTTTTATGAGTCCTATTAAGGAGCTATCATTGAGAGAAACTAAAACAGCAGAGTCCGATAGAAGTCCATTAGTGCCAAACAAATTACAAAAAAGATGAAATGCGACGGTAATATCTAAATTATTAAAACATTCATCAAAACACAACATACACCCGAAACGATCATCATCTTCTTTTTCTTCTTTTGCTTGGGGGATTTCTGCTGGTATTTCTTTTTTTATTGTTTTTTCTTTTTCTATTGTTTCTTCTTTTTCTACTGTTTCTTCTTTTTCTCTCGGTTTCTCTTTTTCTGTTTCAAGTTTGAATTTGTTTGCGTCGGTGGCATCGGCACCGAGCTGCCTATACACCTCAGCATATATATCATTTTTCATGTTTTTTGTTTTATTTTTCAGCAATTCTTTTGCTTTTTCTTTGAGTTGTTTAATTTTCATCTGATGCATCTTGCAACTATACACAGCTCTGGCTATATTCACTCTAACGCGCTGCCCCCCGCTGAGACTGAGCCCCCCCTCATCAACAACACGGAGATCTCCATCTCTCCAGCAGCAGAAATCTTTGTTTAGCTCGCATGCAGCTACCACTGCGGTGTATGTACACTCGTGAAAAACCTCACCCAGCAAAATATTCTCTCGGATCGTTCCTCCACACAACCAAGGGTCTTGAGGCACATACCCCACTGGTGCAGCAGCACCCTGCTGCTGCTGCTGCTGCTGTTTTTCTTTCTGACTGCTGCTGCTGCTGCTGCTGCTGCTGCTGTTTTTAAGCAGATCATCCAGACCCAAACCCCTGTTGATATAGCATGCACCCGCCGTCATGCAGAGGCTCTCAGCTTGTAGCGCTGCCTGCAGCAGAGTGCTTTTGCCGCTTCCTGGTGGCCCCGTGAGGAGAACCGTTTTTCCTATTTTTATATCGAGAGTAATATGCTGCAGAGACAGCTGAATTCTCTCTGCTTCAATCGATGGATAGATCGACACAGTAGGAGACGGAAAAGCACAAGGAATTGATGCTGCTGCTCCTGCTGCTGCTACTGCTGCTGCTGCTGATGCTTCTGCTGCTGCTGCTGATGCAGACAACCACGAGAAAGATGCAGAGAGGAAACGAACCTTCACTCGTGGGTCGTTGACAGCTCTGTTCAGATCAGAGAGAAGAAAAGGAAAAAAGAACAGAGAAAAATATAAATAGTTTATGAGAAAGCAATCAATAAAAACCCAAAAAAAATATCACAGAGATGACAAACACAAAAGAAAAAACAGAAAGGAGAGAGAAGAAACAAGAAAAAAAAAGAAAACAGAAAAAGAGGAAATTCTACACTGCATCTACAACAGCAGCAACGAAAAAAACGGCGCTTTCACAGCAGCCTTACTCGAGCATTTTTCTTGCCACTTCAATCAAATCCTGCTGCTGCTGCTGCTGCTGCTGCTGCTGCTGCTGCAGCAGCAGCTGATTATCTTCTACGTCTTCTCCTGGTGCCCTCCTAAGGAGCGGTTCTTCCTCAGGCCTGTGTCGATATGCATTTGTTTGTGCTGCATCTCTTATTTGTTTTATTTTAGGTTTAAATATATAACCGCGTATTCTGTTGAGGGAGATGCTCCCCTCTATAAGAGCTGAGAGAGTGTAGGGTAGATCAGCTATAGGCCCAACGAAGCTATCCATAACATGAATTATGGGTATCACCAATTCAGCTTTCATATTCATAATCTGAATTCAAAACACAAACATAATACATAA